CTTTTACTGGTCCAGAACAAAATCTGTCTTTGTCCAGATATCTGTTGAAATAAAAACCATTAAAAAGTATTTTGTTTATACCATTCATTGCACACTAACACTATATTTGCTTTTATACTTTAAACAGAGTTTTGCTCACATCATTAGAGGAAGCTCAAATCCCAGCAAACAAACATGGGAGCAATCAAGAGTTTGAAAAAGAAAATATATTTTATTTTATACTCATTCAATGTCTGTGACACTGACAATTAAATTTAGATTCAGAACCACAGGTAAATAAATTACCTTTAAAATATAAACTTAAAGACTATGTCCCTAACTTTTCTGTAGAAAGAAACTTTTTCATGATGTGTTATCCGTAAGCCTTGATACACAATTAAATACACATGTGTTTGCTATTTTCTGTGCTGTACACAGAATAAACATATGCCAACATATGTGAACAACAAGGTGAACTATAGACTTGCTGTCTACTGTTGATCCTTGATCCACAGTTACCTAGCCTGCTTTGTGTCATTGTTATCCAAAGCATTACAAAAGCATTAGAATCAGACCACAATTTTTTGGAGAAAATCCTTGCCAGACAAATTATTATTAAAAGCAGAGTATTTATATTTGAAGTCTCAAAACGTATCTGGAGGGTATTTTTAATCGTTTCAATTGTCACTTATGCAGTTTGCTAGGCTGCTCAATTTAAAGATGAGGGAGCGAAGAGCCTCCCGAATTGTCAAGTAAAACTCTTGAGCTTGCAATACGTTCTCGGGAAAGGCCCAACTCTGACATGATCATATTACACAGGTCAAATATATCTTCGTCACATGGGACAACTGAGAGGAATTTGCATGCCTCTTTGCAGACATCGAGATCATTATGTGGAACAATGAAGTCCTCAGAACCCCAGAGCTGTGTCACAGTGTACATCACGTCAGGAATCCCACTGGGTACATTGTGATTCCTTGTTGGCCGGATGCGGTGGCTGTTCCAGACTGCCTCGATTTCGTCAAGCTCTTCCTAAAAAGAGAATATGTACCTATGGTTAAAAGAAAGGTTTAAAGACTAACTAGATCAAGATGACACAAAAAAGAAGAAAATAGACATGCTTGTTGAGAAATGAATATGAGCTTCATGGGCTACTCCAGGTAATGAGTCTCACAATAACATAATTTAACATAATTTAATATTGCATTCCCTAATGCCTTCCAGAAAATAATTATATGAAACATTAACTTCATTTCAACCTGGGATCTGAACTTATTACTCTTGCTGCTGCTTTTAATAATTTTCTATACTTGACTCTGTTTTATTCATCTGAAATGAATAAAATAGTCAGAAGTCAATATTGCCACAACATTCTGTTTTCGCAGAATTTTATACAGTATACTGTAATTGTATAGTTTTTAACTGAACACAATAGCCTAGGTTGCAGCTTGTTTACACAAATGACCCGCGATCGCGATCGTCTAGCAAGCCTGCTTGGTGAGCAGCGTTGAAACGGGTCCCCGCTGAAAGACTTTCCTGCTGCACATGTTCCGGGCGCTGTTTGGGCTATTCAACAAAAAAGACCGCTTTTCTGTACGACCCGGTATACAGCACAGCCCTAGCAAAACAATAAAATTATTGGCAGAGACACATGATCGACTATCACTGTTGTTTCACAACCATGGACAGCGCTATTCGTTGCGTAGCCTAGTGTGTTTGCGTGTGTCGGCTAAGTATGGAGCTGTCCATAGTACTGAAACACAGAGCGGAGAGATTTGTAACGCTTGACTTATACGTCCGTTGTTTTAGCGCCTCCTCCGACAGATGTTGAAAGACAACGTGCATAAATTCAATTTCACGGTTAAATCATTGATCGCTTTTTTGTATTTTAATGATAAAAACTGACCCTTCACAATTTTTAACAGCCCACTAAATCACTAATAAACAAACAATAGGCCTATAGGATACCGTCAGTCCCATTTAATCCCTTAAATGAGTTAGGTCGACGTTATTTTGTCCAAAGTTTTAACTTGATAGCCTATATAAAGACTTCAGGTCTACAGAACTTTATCAATTAGACTTGCTACATTTTTACTGCCAAATTGCCTCATTTTTTTAACAAACCGGCTATTCATCAGTTGCTCCTCCAAGCACAGAAAGGAGGCAGTAAATCTGTTTACCTCTCATTAGCACTGGTAAATTAATAAAAGTATCGTGTTAGGATCACTGTTAATATTTGTGCTTTAACATAAATACACCAGTTCAGGGGATGGAAGAGCAGTCCACTTAAGATACAGACTTTCAATCTCACCTGAATAATGTGCCGAAAGCACAGCTGCACAAGTTATTTGTCCAGGTAGTCCCCGACGCGTGGGTCGCTGCTTGTGTATGCAGCTTTCATCCAAATTATTTTGCACGAAAAGCCATCTATGCAACCACTGATGCAGATTCCATATGGCTTTAACTTATCGTAAGAATCTACATGCCAGATATAGTTAGGTCCTTGAGCAAAATACTGCCTACGCTTTAATCTCCTGGAATGACGGATGGCTGAAGCGTCAGGGTCCAGAGCTGCAAGAATCAAACGAACATCTTCCTTTTTCTGCACGAATGCCATTCTTTAAGCACAGTACATCCACCTGCAGCCATGTAGTCTCCCAGGTCCTTCCAGCTGCTGAATGATGAAATCTATGACTTCCCCAACATCAGCATATTCCTTGCGTTTAAGTCCATGCATTTTGAGCAGCCGAATTAAGTGTCTCTTGCTAAGAGTTACTCCATGCCTAACCGCAAGTGACTGAAGTATGTCACTGTAATTAATTCCTATATTAAAATAAAATGAAATTAATTCAAACTTGTCCATGTTAACAATCAACAGTCTCTGCATGGAAATTAACTATCTCATGGCCACGAGATAATAACGCGTGGCCACAAGATAGTAATGTGTGGCCACGCATTATTTTTTTTAATCCAATGTCACCAGGGGGGCTCCTAGAAATACTATTGAGAACCTGATAATATTTATTTATTTATTTATCTGTACAAACCACTGTATGAGTTGCTGGCACCAGCATTCTGTATACAATCACCTGATTATCAAAATATATTAATAAAATGAGCTGAGATAACATCTGCAACAACTGCAACAACAATTTCCAAGTTCAGTTTATTAACTCAATTTGTAACATTTAAACAAGACTGCTCAGTCTGTGTGATTCTCAAAACAGAGAAAAAAGTGCAGATGATTCACTGGATGTGCATTTTTATAGACCTAACACAGTAACATTCAAAACTTTTTTAAACTGTAAACATTGGTCACTTGTCAGCTTCATCAGCTTATTCCTTTTCAAAAAGGTATATGACTTTTTAATGTTCGTTTTTTTTGTGCAACGTTTGCAACAATATTGTTTATATTTAACGTTTGTCTGTTAGATGTTCTTTGAGTTGTTCTTGGAGATCGTCTGAAATGTCAAATATACACCGATCGTGTCACTGGAGAGAGAGACAGTATTCAGTGTCTCAGCACTTTCCTCACCTATGATTGTGACCATGTCCAATGCTGCCGGAGTATTAGCTCCTCTGCTATCGTGTGAGGTTTGTTGCCCCTAGCGATGTGGTGGGCAACTTTGTACGAGGCTAACGGTGCGTTTTTATTTACTGATACCGCGCTCACTAAATGACCGGCCTGTTGGCGACACTCATCGAGTGTCGATGAAAAAAGTCCAGTGGCTTACTGACATAACTGGGGTGTAAGGTCTCCAGCTGCCGTCTTAATTTTCATGCTGTCTGCTGCCAGAGTCTTTAAACATAAAACATACCGTATTCACGGTAAACCCAAAGGCTATGTAGGCTGCGTCGTATTTCCTGGTCTTATTAGGTTTATGCCGGTTACCGTCACTTGCTTTTCTTTCCTCTGACGCCTCCCCCGTTTTTCTTTTCACTTGTGTCAGAAACTTCTTCTTTTCCGTCAGCCCCCCCTGCCTCTCACGCCCCACTATTTGAAAAGTACTGGTGTAGGTGTGTGTATGAGTGAGTGTGTGTGTGTGTGTGTGTGTGTGTGTGTGTGTGTGTGTCTATGATTCTGTGTGCCTGTGTGTGTGATGGTGTGTGTGCTTGCCTTTATATGCATCATAAACAATATGTGGTCACAGTTCTGTGACTTTTGCAAATATACGTATTGCATTTGCTACACTTGATACTTGTTTTGTTGTTGTTACTGCAGAATTTACACCGTGTCCTTGTGTGTGAAGCATCGGGACAGGTCAATCATGCTGTAAAAGACAGCAGTATGATATGGGGCCTTAGGTCTTCCCTTTGTGTTACAGCTGTGTCCCGATGTGCAGTGCTCAGGAGAAGCACATTTTTCCTTTTTTTGGGGATGTAGGACACAAGCACATGTGTCTCTGTAAAGGCAAACTTAGAGGAGTATCTAGCTCTGTCACTTGATATCAGCAGTGCAGGAGGTATCTCTGGCTTGTTCTTCCTCACTGTTCCCACCGTGGTCAGCTTCTTTTTCAGAAGCTCCATAGGTGGGATTGAAGACCACAGTATATTTCCATCCTTGGAAGTAAAACGTTTTTCAACCTCTTCCTCCTCCTGGATTCTTCCTCACTAGTTTCAGGATTTTCATAGATGCTACAGTCCTCTTCCTCATTTCATCCTCCTCATCTTCCTCTTGCTCGCTATCCTACTCAGCCGGGTTCAAAATCAGATCAAGAGCCTCTGTTGCTGCGTGGTGCCTCCTCATTTTGATGTCTGAGACTCATATGAGAATTTTCAGGGAGCCTAAACTTCTAAACTTTTTTTTGGTTGTTTTTGCTTTTTGTTTAGTCCTTTTGAATTAAAGGTAGAAACAAATTTGCTTACAATGGTGCAGCTTTGAAAAAATATCTGCTGTGTGTGCGTGTGGCTGTGTGTGTGCCAGAAATTACAATATCGTGACCATTTTGCTCCATTATGTGTGCTGGGTCCATTTGTGTCCTGGAAGAATACAGGTGCTATAAATATTCATAAAACATGTATAAATTTATGAAGAAAGTTGAAATTTATTTTTTTTATAAAGGATGCAGAGGGACACAATTCCTGAAAATTTCAAGCAATTCTATGAAAGTTAACCTTTAATAATGGTATGATTTCTGGTCTAAAAGGACCCGTAGACTACACAAGGGTTAAGAGTATTTAAGGTGATTCAGAGAATATATTTGCCTCTACAACAGGAGCTACATGACTCTATATGACACGGGAAGAGATCTGACCACAAACAAACAGTTTGTCACTGCAGTAAGATGAAAATATCAAGTAAAGGTCAGTGGTGTCATCATTATTTTAACTTGAGATGGTGTGAAGATGTTCTCTTTGGAAACAAGACAAAACAAACAATGACTCAGAGACTAAATGTACACAGCTTGAATATTTCATTACCAATAATAAGTTGTACGATATCTACAAACAGTAAAAGCAATAAACTGCATTATTGCAATATGATATAAAAATGTTGCTAAATGTTTCAACATCTTAGGTTATAACAGTAAATGGTGAAAAAATATATGATGTACTTAAAAGTTGAACTGGGGGTTTCTGACAACTCTTCATCACCTGTCTGAAATACAAGACCACAGCTGCCGTTGTTTTTGAACCATAAACCTCAGTACAAGGTCCAACTTGTTTCTGAAGCTTTTAACCACCTCTTGCACATCTTGCCTTCGTCAGCAGATGAGGATTTAGTTGTTATCATCTTATTTAGGTATGAGATTGTGGTCACATGATAACAGTTAGTTTGGGTGGGAAATCAGATCTCTCCTGTTTCTGTTTAAAGATGGCGTGTGCTGTTGGAAGTGACTGTCCTCCTCCTCCTCCTCTTCCTCCTCCTCTTCTGTCTGCTGACTGGTTGGCTGTCTGAGAATAAAACATAACTGGATGAATTTCAGTTTCTCTTTATTTATTATATTTTATTGGTGTGAATGCAGGGTCTAATTCACTGTTCAACATAGAAAATCAGTTTTTAACTGTAAATGCTATTTAAACTCTTTTCATTGCTTCTTGCCCCTCGTTTGAATCTCTTGTAACTCCACTGCCCTCATGCAGTTCAGCTCCTAGCTATTATGAAGCAATATGTAGAGGTGGGACCAAGTCATTGGTTTGCAAGTCCCTAGGCAAGTCCAACGTAAAGTTTGTTCTTCTTTCCTGCAACTTGATTGGTTCAAACAAAGTGGATTTGGGGAATAAGTGTGGACTTGCTGGGAATGGACATTGTTAACGTTAATTGTTTTAGGAAATTAATTGATTCATGGCACACGTTTCAAATAACACACTCTTGGGGGAAGGTATCATTTTCAAGTCAAAAGGCTCAAGTCCAAGTGAAGTTACGAGTCATTGGTGTTATGTCCTAGTCAAGCTAATTTTCTCAAGTCTAAAGTCATCAAATTTGTGACTTGAGCCCAAGTCATTTAACTCGAGTCCACACCTCTGACAGTACAGCATCAGCTCTTCAGCAGTCAGCAATCACACAACATCTCTCAAGTTCTATAGTTACCTTAAAGCTTTCTCTGAAGATCAGTCTCATCGTCGGTCAGGGCTTGTTTTATTGCAGCTTTTTCTTTAGTCAGTTTGTCATTTTCTTTAGTCAGTTGGTCTGTAGTCAGTTTGTCTTTTTCTGTAGTCAGTTGGTCTTTTTCTGTAGTCAGTTGGTCTTTTTCTGTAGTCAGTTGGTCTTTTTCTGTAGTCAGTCGGTCTTTTTCTGTAGTCAGTTGGTCTTTTTCTGTAGTCAGTCGGTCTTTTTCTGTAGTCAGTCGGTCTTTTTCTGTAGTCAGTTGGTCTTTTTCTGTAGTCAGTTGGTCTTTTTCTTCAGTCAGGTTGTTGTAGCTGGTCCGTAACTGGATCATTTCCATTTCCCACTGAGAGTTGCTCTTGGTAACTGTTTTTGACACATAGACAAGCAAAAAAAGAAACACTGTCAACCAATATTATCCTCTTACACATTAATTTTTATTATTATTATTATTATTATTATTATTATTATTATTATTATAGTATTATCCACATCCTATTCAGGAATAGCCTAGTGAAGAGGAAAAAGTATGTTTCTATATTTATTTATTTTTAAATCAAATGAAAGAAACACCCTCTGAAAAGTAACTTGTGCCATAACCTGCCTACAATCAAAAATGACGATAAACTAGTTGCTTTCATTTAACATCTTTTATTGTTTCACATGCTCATTTTATCTATAGTCTTTTTTCACAAATGTCAAAATTGTCCATGCTCAGATTATATTCAGTTTCACTGCAAATGAGGCACACAGGTACAGCATTTCTAAAAGTTGGCACTATGAATACATACTTATCAGTCCATTCTTTATTAAAGCTGTGGTTCTCTGCATCAAATTTCCGCTTAAGGCTCTTCAAGAGTGCCATTTTCCATGCTTGAAACATATTCAGAAAGCCTTACGACACTGCATGTGACAGTGATGGACAGCTTACAGCCTCACAAATATGAAGCCTAAAATATCGCTTTCGCCCCCTAGTGGCTTGCTGCAGTACAGGTAATATGAATCTGTTAACACTGACAGAGGCTAAAAAATAACATAAATTTTGAATGAAAATTAGTATATCAAATGATAACATATTACTTAGGATACAATACTAATTTTATTTTATTTTATGAGCATCTGGCCCTCACAGTGTCTGCAGAGAAAAATTCTGGCCCTTGGACAAATGTAGTACTCACATAGGAAAACCAGAGTAATGAGTCCGATCACGAGGAGAATACACAGCAGACCCAGACATACTGCAGCAGCTCTGCAGGAACTCTTTGTTACCTTTCCAGCACCTGAAGGAAAGATGCAATGTTTGTCTTTGTATTGTCGCTTCTCATAATACAACATGTTACAGACAGTGAAATGATCCATGAACTGAACTCGAAAGCCAGAGCAATGTTTGGGGTGCTTGGATGGTTTTACTAATATTCAAAGGCGCAAAAGTCACCAATTGAAATGCAACCATCCAAAAGTATAAAACATATATTTGTATGAGTCAACATAAATATATTCAAGCACACATTTACATAGCCTTAATTTCTTCATGCCCTCTGTTCTTCTTCAATTCTTCAGTTCAAACCATTAACAGTCTTTGTGGCTGGCTGTCTTTCTCAAAATTATTGTTTCTCAAACAAGTCATTGTGTCCTTAGTCATCAGCATTGGTATTCCTATAGACAGTTTATTCTGTTTGTGTGTGCCTGTGTGTAAAAAACAAAAACATACAAGTAACCATGTGTTCATTACCTGCAGCTCTTGTTCTCTTTGGCTCCAGATTTTCATAAATATTTTCTGAAATTTGTGTCTCCCTTTCCCTCTTGCTGGGAATATCTGAGAGTCTCTGGACATTAGCATAAATATCAAGTGGTTGATCCATTATGTTCAGCTGTGCTAATGGTACAGTTTGGTCCTGTGCTGCCTGAAGTCATCACAGACTGTTACAGAGGAAGGTACTCTATTTTTACTCATGTGACCGTCTACAGGAAACTGAGCGCTGGTAGTGTGAAATATTTGAGGTGACCACCTATTTGGCCTTTGGTGCTTTCCATTTTGATCTATCTATCTATCTATCTATCTATCTATCTATCTATCTATCTATCTATCTATCTATCTATCTATCTATCTATCTATCTATCTATCTGCGTACACGTTCAGAAGGCCATTATTCACAACTGCAGTCTTTTGCAGTTTTACAGTTAAAGTGAGTTCTGCCTTAGACACAGGTTACACAGCACTGATAACTTTTAATTATTATTTATGTATTATATATTTATTATTATTATTTATTTAACTATTTAAATTTTCCGATATGAAACGAGAATGTAAAAGCCATTAATATTCTGCTTTTCTACACAAAGAGACACATAAGCTGTTTCACACAGATTCCAAGTTAATACAGTTCAAAATGACAAAAAACCTACAAGACCAAAACAATTATAAATGACATAATACATTAATTTAAACACCAATACAAGATAAAAGAAAGAGTAATTAAAACAAGTATAAAAGCACAGTTCATACAAATACAAAACAATTCAAGTAAAACAGGTGCAAACAGATATAATCATTTTTGATGAGGGATTTAAATTTACCAAATGATTTTAAGAGTGCTTTGTAAAGTATTTCAGGAAGTAGTTGGTATAAAAACTAAAGGCTGATCTTCTAAGCTCAGTACAAACTCCAGGAAATTGCAGTGAAAGCCAGTCATTGTGCGTGCTTGATAAGGTCCAGAGGGACAATAAGGGACCTTCCAATAAGAGTCTTTTAGATAAACAAATACATATTATCACACTTTTAGCCAGAGTAGACCACCCAACTTTTCTATACAGGATGCAATGGTGAGTGCTAGAGACATCCCCATAGTTTGGGAACCTGTGTCCTAACCAAAGCAGCAGCACTCTCTCTACGTCAGTCGCCCTGGAGGACACACGGAAAAAAGGGAAACGTGCCTTTGCCAACACTCCTCGCCTCCTTGGAAAAGCCTTCCCTTCAATAAGGTCTCGAATTTTACATCAAGTACTGAACTAAACTCTCACCTTTGCAGAACAGCCCTTTAATCCTTAATGTTTCCTTAATATTACCAAACCTTTACACTTGAACACATTACTTAATTAAACTAAGATAAGATCACAGGAATATGGAATTAAGGACACATGAAATATTGATAAAAAATGACATTAGTCATCAAATAGAAACACAGCACACGTGCAGCTTTATTTAAACATTTCACTGGAGATGGGTGAATATGTATAGGTTCTGAGTCATTAAAGCTGGTGTAGGTAACTTTTATAAAAATAACATTTTGTCATATTTAGTTATAATAGTGAATTGTTCAATCTCTTTGACTGGAATGAGACTGACGTATGTTTCTTGGCTCTAATTGTTTTTTCTTGTTCTGATGAGGTGGATTCTGGAAATACCATTAGGAGCACTACGAGGAGTCAAAGGAACCTGATTTTTATACAGATTATCTGTTTCATTTCAGCAAGCCTGACAAAATATTATATATTTTTTTTAATAAAAGTTATCTACTGCAGCTTTAAAAAAAATATTTTTAAACATTTATTGTCTGTTGTAAAATCTAAAATCTGCTTGAAATTATTGGAAAGTGATATTGAATATTATGTTGCTTATATAAATGTGACATGTGGGCCCTTGGGAGTCATTTAGAACAAAAAAAAGGGAAATATTATTATTTTATTATTTCCATAGTCATGCAGCCATGTGACTAAATCAACATGTGCTATGTTGAAACACAAAATGTCGTCACTGCTAGAACTTGGCAGTGAATTACAAGAGGAAGTCATCAAAACTATTTTTTCAGTTAGACGTCAGGCTGCCACAGTGTTAAAGGAAATTAAATCAGTATTAATTTAAAGCATATGAAACCATGAGAACATTACTTACCCAACACAAGCAAACAACAAAAATTGAAAAGTCTGTTTGGTCCACTGTGCATAATTGATCTAAGCTGATATCCGCCATAACATTATGACCACTGACAGGTGAAGTGAATAACACTGATTATCTGGTCATCATGGCACCTGTTAGTGGTTGGGATATATTAGGCCGCAAGTGAACATTTTGTCCTCAAAGTTGATGTGTTAGAAGCAGGAAAAATGAGCAGCGTGAGGATCTGAGCAACTTTGACAAGGGGCCAGACTGTGAATGGTTAGTCTACTGGGTCAGAGCATCTCCAAAACTCCAGCTGTTGTGGGGTGTTCCCAATCTGCAGTGGTCAGTACCTATCAAAAGTGGTCCAAGGAAGGAAAAGTGGTAAACCAGAAACAGGGTCATGGGCAGCCAAGGCTCATTGATACACATGGGGAGCGAAGGATGGCCTGTGTGGTCCAATCTAACAGACGAGCTGCTGTAGCTCAAACTGCTGAAAAAGTTAATGCTGGTTCTGAAAGAAAGGTGTCAGAACATAAAGAGTGTCACAGTCTGTTGGTATGAGGGCTGCGTAGCCACAGACCAGTCAGGGTGCCCATGCTGACCCCTGTCCACTGCTGAAAGCACCTACAAGGAGCATGTGAGCATTAGATCTGGACCACGGAGCGATGGAAGAAGGTGGTCTGGTCTGATGAATGACGTTTACTTTGGCATCTTGTGGATGGCCGGGTGCATACGTGTAGCTTACCTGGGGGACACATGGCACCAGGATGCACTATGGTAAGAGGCAAGCCAGCGGAGGCAGTGTGATGCTTTGGCCGATGTTCCGAAATTCCCCAGATCTCAATCCAATCGAGCATCTGTGGGATGTGCTGGACAAACAAGTCCGATCCATGGAGACCCAACCGCACAACTTACAGGACTTAAAGGATCTGCTAACGTGTTGTTACCAGATATCACAGCACACCTTCAGAGGTTTAGTGGAGTCCATGACTCAACCAGTCAGGGCTGTTTTGGCAGCTAAAGGGGGACCTTCACAATATTAGGCAGGTGGTCATGATGTTATGGCTGATCAGTGGTTATTGCACCCACATCTATAGGGCAAGTCTCCTGGCATTGATTGATCTGTGGTTAGATTTTATTAGTTTTTCACCTTTCTACCCTTATTACATTATACCAAGCAATCAACTCACTCACACAACAAAAAATGTTTTTATTATATGTGCGAAGTAAAACATTTATTAAATGAATTAGTTTTCAGAAAGGCATACTTCTTCATTCATTTTCTTACATTGCCTGAGCAGGTGGGATTCAGAGCATTGTGGACAACAACTCCCCAGAAAGCTGAATATAAAGCATCCAGTCAAGAAATGTCACTCTGAGTTGTAGTCTACTATAAACAATCTATTATTAATAGACATATACTGTATCTAGTCCAATGGCTATATATTACTCATAGAGACAGAGGCCCAGCTTGGTCACAGGTTACAGAGTCATAGGATTGTATGTGAAATGGGAATTTGTGAACATCATCGAAAAATCATTTTTCACAGATCCAGAAGTTTTCGTCTTCACATGGTATATCATTCCAGCTGTTCTCAATATCATGGGACTTTAATTCTACACAGTCCTCATTTTTGTCTTCATAAGCATTGGGCTCCCCAGGGGTCCAATAGCTGAAACCAAAAAACAAATTATCTTTAAAGGACCAGTGTGTAGGATTTGGTGACATCTTATTCTTGCAGATTGCAACTAACTGCACACCACTGGCGTCTGTATTTGACAACCTGGGAATGAGAACAGGCTGTGAAGTGTGTTGGAGAAACTACACGGGCTGCGTAACTCGGAAAAAATGCGAAAGGCCATTTCTACAGCCAGTGTTTTGTTTGTCCATTCTGGGCTACTGTAGAAACAAGGTGGAGCCCATAGAAGGTGACCCATGGCGTCTGTAGATAAAAACGTCCTAATCTGATGTAACAAAAACACAACGATTACTATGTTCAGGTGAATACACTAATTTAAACATACCTATAAATATTTCCATTTCTGCCAATAGATCGTCCTAAGGGTTACACACTGGACCTTCTAATAAAGAACCCACAATGGGTACTGTGGCTGACAAGACTCCATAACCAATCATTTTACTGAGCAGATAATCGTAAAACACACCTCAAATGGGACAGAAACAAAATTAAAGCTGCAAGCAGTGATGAACGGGCCCTCACACTCCACGCAACTCGGGCGTCCTGTGGCCGTGTCACTATGCAGGGCTTACTTCCTGTTGCCAGTAGGTGGCGCTATCACTATATCTGAATATTGTCATATAGACGTGTTCAGTGTGGGACTGTGATCAAACGTGTTTCATTGAGACTGGGCCATGTACACTGAAGTTGTGAGGACGTGTTCAGGGTGGGACTGTACACTGAAGGTATGAATAGTCTGTTTAATGGCCAATCGGCGGAATTCGACATGTCGTCACAGGCACGCGGTTAAACATACAGTCACAAATAGCACAACTTTTGATCACCAATGTGTTTAGATTGCAGTGTTCGAATCTGAAGTCAATCTGATAAAATCTGTAGGAGGAGTTAGTTAAAACAGAAGCCCTTAAATTGTGAAATGGCATCACAGTTTGACATTCGATTCAACCCGGCCAAATTTGACGGCATGCCACGGATACGCCCTTCAACGTACGTGCACAAATAGCACAACTTTTAATCAGCACCATTTTTTTTCAAGCAGATGCAATGAATTCCCCAGTAGGAATTTGTTCAAATACAACGCAAAAAGTTTGCTGAAAGTGAAAATGAAAATCAAAATGGCTAACTTCCCGTGGGGTTTGGGGTATGGGTCCAAGAGGCTTTTTTGTACGTCTCAGCATGTTTCACGTGCCTACCGAGTTTCATATATATCGGTGAAACGTGGCGCCAGGGCTGCTTTTTTAAAATCCTGTGGGGGGCACTACAAACACGACAAACACAATTTTTGGTATGTGAGCTTCAGGCACCACTCTACACGTGCCCTGTGAATTTCATACTCATAACTATTACGGTCTCCGCACAGTGATTTACCATGCCACCAGACCGCCACCTAGTGGTGGATTGTTGACACATTTTTTAGCGAGCCTCAGGGAGCCATGGGCAAGCATGGTACAAGGCTTCATTTCAATCACACATGCCAATGCAGAGATATAAACTTCTTCATTTTAAAGAGTGCCACCTTGTGGCGATGGCCAGAAATTGCGCACGATGCCTAAGGAAGACATAAGTAATGATGGAACCAAGGTTGGTGTCAATCGGACATACCAATGTGGAGAAATGGTCCACTTCCTTTTTTGACGAAACAGGAACAGGAAGTGCTAATTTTATAACATGCGTTGCTTATTTTTTGAAATATCACAATCCTTAAAAATACTTTTTTTGTCATGGCGGTCTCCAGGTACTACGTGAAAAATTTCGTGCGAATCGGACAAAGCGTTTAGGAGGAACACGAAAAGGTAATTTAGTGGTCGCTGGCATGGTCCCTAATAAAACATAAAACAAATGTATTAAGAGGGTTCTCATTCTGTTAATACAGAGGAAAAGATAGACTGAGGTAGTCAGGTAGCACTTCTTGCCAACTGGCAACTTTGGTAACATCATTATAAGAACGGCATATGGGCGCATAGATGTTGACATGTATATGCCAATTGCTTCTGTGATGTTTTTGGCCCTGTCAGTGTTAATGTCAAGAAGTGGCTTAAAAGCAGCGGGGATAAGTTGTTGTGACAGATATGTCGGGGTGATGCTGTCTTATGTGGGTTAGCATGTTTGAGGTGTTGCCAGCAACATACCACCACTCGCATGCCGTCACCATTATATTGTACTGGGAAGCCAAAATGCTCCCAAACAGCTGATTTAAATGACGCCGGCTGCTCCTCCAACTCCACACTTTCCATAACTTTTCTTCTTCGTCCTTTTTTGTAACTACTTCTTCTTCTTCTGTAATGATTTTAGGCAACTGGATTAAAGTGAGGACTCCACTTTTTTTTTTTAGTCACTCAGACGTATTCGTCATATGACTGCGTGCACCGTTACGGTTCGGGACGAATACAAATACCGTTACACCCCTACTGCTATATTAATCTTTTAAATCTCATACATATATAACCTTTAAGGCTTTTTGTTTCAGCATCAATGTAATCTGAATAAAAGACTAACCTTTTGTCCAGCGGAGTGCCATCCACCCATATCCACATCCCTTTGGTTTCTCTGTCTGTCAGTCCAATCCACATGAGCTTGTTGAATTTTCTTGTGAAGTCCTTGTTTACAGAGAAAAACTGTAATCAGCAATCAATAGAAATGGTTGATTACACCTCTGTGGCTCAGAGGTAGAGCGGGTCGTCCACACACGGAAGGTTGTTGGTTTGATTCCTGGTTCATGTATCCTTGAGCAAGACACTGAATCCCAAATTGCTCCCAATGCTGCGTCATTGATGTGTGAATGTGAATGAGTGAGTAAGTTTCTGTTACTGATATTTAAAAAAAAAAATAAAACAGGTTATAATAGAATATAGATTAGTTTACTTATTTTTCAACTTTATGTCATTTCTCACCATATTTTTCCATTTACTTCACATTTCTTATATTTTTCACTCTTTCTTTAGTGTCTCTTAATCTCAAACTCATTCACGCATTAATACCAAGCAGCAAATGAAGCCAACATGGAAGTGCCACAAAGACTATATCCATTTTTGATCATACCGTTTATGATTAATACACACACCTGTTCTTCTTTGCTGTTGATTACCATCAGGTCTGCACCTCTTTGCAGACAGTCTTCTCTGCTGTCGTTCCAGGATTTCTTGGTAGAAGAAATGTAATAGAAACTGGGATGGAAATAGACCCACCCTTGTTGGAAAAGGTAATCTGTTATGAATGACAGCAAAGACTGCCTTAATATCTCAGACATTAGCAATATAAACAATCAAACAGGGCCTGGAGTTTGCCACCAGAACAATTATTTATTTACTTATTTAACATTATTTGACTAATATCACCAATTTAAAAAAGCAATTATAAATTAATTAGCTCCAAGTAAAAATAGATTTAAAAAATCTGTAAATGGAATAACTCCATATTCTTATGCCTCTCTTTAAAATGATTAATGAATAAATTAATTGTAGATACACACCAGGGCTGTTGTATTGGATTACATTATTGTACTGATGTACCTCAAAAAAACCACTAGCCAGAGTGTATGTCACTTCAGATAAAAATAGCTCTATTTAGTGGTTATTTACAGACTGAAAATGATTTCAATCAGACTTTCTACACAACCAGAACAAACAAACACTTGGCCAATAGACCTCCAACCCACTCTGAGGGTTGGATTACTCTTCTTTTATTTTAAAGTATTTCAGATTTTTGTTTTGGTTTGTTATTTAGTGTGAGTAAACACAATACAAGTTTAATAAAATCATACAGTGTTTGCCCAAAAACAAAACCCCACAATAACTGTATTATTTGCAGCAGTGGACTATCATGTGAGTCCGTTTGGCTTTGACAAGATTCATTGTGGGTTTTCATCTGATGTACTCAGTATAATACCCAGTTTTGCCCTAAATTGCACTGAAATGTCCTTTTGGATGCAAGCTCTCATTATTGGTTTGGGAATGAGTTTCAATCTCTTACTTACTAAAGTTAATCAGTTTCTCCTTAAGCTTGTCACTCTCTTCAATCAGGTTTTTGCAGACCTCTATATCTCTTGTCTTGTAAGGGCTGTCTGAAAGAGCAGAAACATTTTATTGGCAATTCATGTGTCAGTTCAGTATCTTCAGTAAAGGACACTTTGACAGTGGCAAGTGGACAGGAGGAGATTGGGGAACAAACAAAAGAAGCAAGTCTGTATGCGCTCATAATCTCAGCTACATCAGCTGATGGCTCAGTTGATTCCCTTCAAGAATCCAATAGGCAAATATCTACACAGTGCCTTATTTAAGGCGCTTTAGCCACCTTCACCCTAGCTCCTCCTTTTACGCTGTATTTTGATTTAATCAGTGTCATTTCTGTTGTCACTGATGCCTGTTCTGTGCTGTCTTTGCTGCTCTCCTTGCCTTATGCTTTCCATTTATGCATGTGAAAGGGCAGGGAGGTCCCAGAACAGACCCACACCACCAGATATAACTTACTGCAATTGGAAATAAAGTTTTCTTTTGACAAAAGTGGTCCTGACTGAAGTAAGTTTACAGGCCGAAAGTTGTCACTTTGGTTTCATTTTATTTTAATTGTATAAATATGAAACATGAACTGGAAAGTCCCATCCTCTTCTTACTTAATATGTTAGCTTTCTAGTACTGTTATTATGCCTTACGAGCGTTTCAAAACTTCCTCAAACTTCAGTTTCTTTAGGAACGTCAGCTGCCCACAAATTCTTAAGCAACTAGACTCAGAGAGCGCAGACCTGTTGCATGTTTTGTTGCACACTGTTCACTTCAGTAATGATGGTAAATGGTAAATGGACCTGTACTTGTATAGCGCCTTTCTAGTCTTCCGACCACTCAAAGCGCTTTTACACTCCGTGTATGTTTTGGTCATTGGATTTTCCTTTCAGAAACGGGTATTAAAAAACAGAAAACGAGTGGTTATTTGATTTTCGTTTTAAAATACAAAAATTAAAATTGAAATACAAGGCATTTTTCTTTTTTGTGGTCAAAAAGGGAGGAGCGAAATTTAAAAAGATATTCGATTTTCATTTTCTATTTCATAAAACAAACAAAAAAAATCACTAGAAAACAGAAACGGAAAAAGGGCCCTAACCCAGGAATTATTGAGCAGTGTTTTTACAGTAGCTCAAATATGGTCAAATATGCCACTTGGAGGTACAAATATGGACTTTTATTGTTGAATTTCTCCATATTGGTACAGTAAAAATGCTTGATATTAAGTATGCTTGTAGTCTCATGTGTGTAAAAGTCAAATACCATCAGTAGCCAGGAAACACTGAGCAATATGTTTTTACAGTACCTCAAATATGGTCAAATATGCAATCTCTTGAGGCATAAATGTGAGACTTTTATTTTGGCATTTCTCCACAATGGTGCAGTAAAGATACTTGATATAAAGTGTGCTTTATTCATCAGGGGCACATGAAACATTTTAATGTAATATGTTTTATTTTAAATGTAGGTTTGAATTATAGCTTACTGTTCTTCAGTAAAGATACTTGATATAAAGTGTTTTTTTATTCATCAGGGGCGCATGAAACACTTTAATGTAACATATTTTAATTATAGCTTACGGCTCTAAATACCTTTATTTTGAAAACCGGAAGTAAATACGGCGTTTCTCCGCATTTACCATAATGCTGAGAATACTTGTACACTCGAAATTTAAGTGCGGCTGATTTGACCACAGAGATCGGACTCACGGCTGGCTTGACCGCAGTCTACTAGCCTACTGTTTCTTCTACACAGCACCGTCCTGTAAATGACAACATCCGGTCTCAGAATATGAAAAAACAGGCCTTTTTTCCGTTTCTGTTTTCTAGTGATTTTATTTTTTGTTTTATGAAATAGAAAATGAAAATCGAAAATTTATTTAAATTTCGCTTATCCCTTTTTGACCATGAGAAAGAAAAACGCCTTGTATTTCAATTTTAATTTTTTTATTTTAAAACGAAAATCAAATAACCACTCGTTTTCTGTTTTTTAATACCCGTTTCTGAAAGGAAAATAAATTTAAAAAAAATAAATCGGTCCGTGTATGTTTTGGTCATTGGATTTTCCTTTCAGAAACGGGTATTAAAAAACAGAAAACGAGTGGTCATTTGATTTTCGTTTTAAAATACAAAAATTAAAATTGAAATACAAGGCGTTTTTCTTTTTCATGGTCAAAAAGGGACGAGCAAAATTTAAAAAATGATTCGATTTTCATTTTCTATTTCATATAACAAAAATTAAAATCACTAGAAAACAGGAACGGAAAAAAGGCCTGTTGTTTCATATTCTGAGACCGGATGTTGTCATTTACAGGACGGTGCTGTGTAGAAGAAACAGTAGAGCAGTACACTGCGGTCAATCCAGCCGTGAGTCCGATCTCCGTGGTCAAATCAGCCGCACTTAAATTTAGAGTGTACAGGTATTCTCAGCATTATGGTAAATGCGGAGAAACGCCGTATTTACTTCCGGTTTTCAAGATAAAGGTATTTAGAGCCGTAAGCTATAATTAAAATATGTTACATTAAAGTGTTTCATGCGCCCCTGATGAATAAAAAAACACTTTATATCAAGTATCTTTACTGCACCAGTGTGGAGAAATGCCAAAATAAAAGTCTCATATTTATGCCTCCAGAGATTGCATATTTGACCATATTTGAGGTACTGTAAAAACATATTGCTCAGTGTTTCCTGGCTACTGATGGTATATTTGACTTTTACACATATGAGACTACAAACATACTTAATATCAAGCATTTTTATTGTACCAATTTGGAGAAATTCAACAATAAAAGTCCATATTTGTACCTCCAAGTGGTATTTTCATATATTTGAGCTACTGTAAAAACACTTTGCTCAATAATTCCTGGCTATGGATGGTATATCTTACTTCTACACATCTAAGACTACAAGTATACTTAATATCAAGCATTTGTACTGTACCAATTTGGAGAAATTGAAGAATAAAAGTCCCATATTTATACTTCCAGATTCCATATTTTCTTATATTTGAGCTACTGTAAAAACATATTGCTCAATATTTCCAGGCTATGGGTGAAGCATTTTCATTATACTTCAATAATGCTGCAGTAATCATGACAAAATTTCACACAAATGTTTAATAACATCTTGATAATATAAACACTAAACACAAAATCCTACATAATTCTAATTTGTTTACTTTTCACACAAAATGCAATGCCAGTCCACATTCTTCTTATTTTGCTGCTCTGCTGTGTCCATTTGTAGGTAAAAGGGAAAAATAATTAGTTTTAACTTCAAAACACCATTGTACCTACTGTCTCTTCCTCACATATTATTTTTTATATGATTCAGTGTGACAGCTGTTGCAGGTGGTTCCACATACAGTTTACATTTTTACAGTAGCTCAAATATAAGAAAATATGGAATCTGGAAGTATAAATATGGGACTTTTATTCTTCAATTTCTCCACATTGGTACAGTACAAATGCTTGATATTAAGTATACTTGTAGTCTTAGATGTGTAGAAGTCAAATATACCATCCATAGCCAGGAATTATTGAGCAAAGTGTTTTTACAGTAGCTCAAATATATGAAAATATGCCACATGGAGGTACAAATATGGACTTTTATTGTTGAATTTCTCCAAATTGGTACAATAAAAATGCTTGATATTAAGTATGTTTGTAGTCTCATATTTGTAAAAGTCAAATATACCATCGGTAGCCAGGAAACACTGAGCAATATGTTTTTACAGTACCTCAAATATGGTCAAATATGCAATCTCTGGAGGCATAAATATGAGGCTTTTATTTTGGCATTTCTCCACACTGGTGCAGTAAAGATACTTGATATAAAGTGTTTTTTTATTCATCAGGGGCGCATGAAACACTTTAATGTAACATATTTTAATTATAGCTTACGGCTCTAAATACCTTTATCTTGAAAACCGGAAGTAAATACGGCGTTTCTCCGCATTTACCATAATGCTGAGAATACCTGTACACTCTAAATTTAAGTGCGGCTGATTTGACCACGGAGATCGGACTCACGGCTGGATTGACCGCAGTGTACTGCTCTACTGTTTCTTCTACACAGCACCGTCCTGTAAATGACAACATCCGGTCTCAGAATATGAAACAACAGGCCTTTTTTCCGTTTCTGTTTTCTAGTGATTTTAATTTTTGTTATATGAAATAGAAAATGAAAATCGAATCATTTTTTTAATTTCGCTCGTCCCTTTCTGACCATGAAAAAGAAAAACGCCCTGTATTTCAATTTTAATTTTTGTATTTTAAAACGAAAATCAAATAACCACTCGTTTTCTGTTTTTTAATACCCGTTTCTGAAAGGAAAATCCAATGACCAAAACATACACGGACCTAAATCCTACTGATAAACAAACAAACATAAAAAGAAAGGTATATTATATACAGACATAATAATAAAGAGGTTTGAGAAACGACAGTGTAACTGAATGGATAAAAACTGTGAGAGCCTGAGAGAACAAACACAGAATTATAATGAGGCGTTGTTGTTGATCAAGTGATATACACACATAGCCTTCCTAGAAAACCCACAGAGAAAGCAATGGTCATATCTTGTTATTATTCAACTGTGGTGGTAACCAGATCCATTTTCTGCTTTTACAATAACAGAGATTCTGTGGAAACACAAAAGTAGAGACACAGTTTAAAATGACTCACAGAGAGCGAGACGCAGGGAAATGTTGAGAGCAGCTTGTAGGACACACAAGAGTCCAAAGCTCACAGCAACCAGTCGGTACAGTTTTTTTCCTAAGTGTAGAAGTTAGACACGCATGCAAACAAAATAAGTGCCCAGGTTTACTGAGTTATATGGACAATGTGTTGGCCTTTTGGGAGGGCTGTATGTGAGCCAGTGACCTGGCATATATCTTTTACAACCACACAAATCTTGACCACAATCTCTAAATCAGTACAAAAAACCATTTACTTTTCATAATATAAATGAAAGTAAAACAAGAACAAAGCATGTACATTGACCAACAGTGCAAAATGACTGAATAAACTAACATCACATGAACACTGAGAAATAGATTCTTCCTTAGGTTTTCAACACAATTAACTATTATTTTTGTTAAACTGTGGTGTTGTCTCACCAGGCGCTGCAGCAGTGACTCCACCATCCTCACCAGAACATCTCTTGAGGGCATCCCTTCTGGCTGACTCCTCAGGCATATTTACATAGTCCATCGTGATCTCAGGTTGCTCTTTATGGACAAACCTCACCATATTTCACTGACTGGAGAGGGACATTAGCGATGGAGAATGGCACTGATGTGTAATCCACTTCCTTTTTCATATTTATCTCTTAGCTAACAAAGCATCACATGTATACTCTTCCTCATTTTTCCTTTACTTCAACAACTTCTCCACATTAAAGCCATTGGCCGCTGCTCCAGTTTCAACTCGTGCAGATTCTTGATTCCCTGCAAAGTCAAAGGTCTTCACACTTAGAGGCCTCCGATTCCCTCTGTTTGACATAATAGGTTCATTGGTCGGTGTATTTCTTAAATGATAATAAGAGTTTAATCCTCACTGTAGTGTCAAATATTCTCTTACTCTTTCCCATTTAAAAGAAGCACATTTTTATACAGTTTTCTTTCAGATGAACTGAATTCTCACCTTTCTCACATATAGATGTGACATAGGGGACATTTAGATCATCAAAATAAAAGGGAAATAATGTGAAATGTGAAAACAGGGAGGAGCTATGTCGAAACACAAAAGGTCTACACTCGAAATAGATCCAAAACTCCAACATTGCAAAGCTATGACCTAATCTGTGAGAAAAAGCAGAAGTACGTATGTCACAATGATTTTTTTTACCTCTTGAACCACTACTGTTCCTTCCCTATGTCTGTCTCCTGCAATGGTCACAAATTATAACCAAGATTTACAATTCGTCCACAAATTTTTTTTCTGAGTTAGACATCCGGCTGCCACAGTGTTAAATGAAATTAAATCATAATGAATTTAAAGCATGTGAAACCATGAGAACAATCTATCAGTCTAGACATAAATAGTATATTCACTGTGGGTACAGGAACAACAACAACAGTTTAACATGAAGTCAGTTTGGTCAGTTGTGCAGGATAGTTTCAGGACATGTTGGATATTCATGCTTAAGCAATTTCCTACACTTATACTGACATCTATAAAACACTAAATAGAACATGCAGACCTCATCTTCAGACACACACAGTTCTCTGGAGTCAGCTGAGTGTTATATGATAAAATAGAAATAAAAAAAAGGTAAAATATGGTAAATAATAACAACATTGTTCATTTAGGTTGTTAACCAATTTCACACAGTTTCACCAGACATTTTCTTTACAGTGTATCATAATGGCTGCCTCACTCCTCTACTTCCCAGTAACGTGACTCTCACCACCTTTTCGTAAATAAACTTTATTGAAATTTGACATTAAAATATTACAAAATAGTTTAACAATAAAGTTCATCAAGTATCAAAGTGCATCAGAAAACATTTAAAAAGAGTCCAAAGGAGTTGGAGATCTATAAAGTGCTTGTTCACAAGTCCAGAATATTTGATGGGAGGGGCCTTCTCCAGTCTTATCCAGCTCAGCAAGCACCTGTTTGATTATTGTGTTACTATGTACTTTCTCTCATCAGTCTCTGTAACATGGGCAATGTAACCTCAACGCTGAAACCTGAAACCTGACACCTGGAACCTTTATCTGCTAGCCTTTTCCTGGTTAAACACAGACTTTCAGTTACTTCTGTTTGGACTTGATACCCATTTTGTGACCCCTTCTGCCTTCATTTTTGCATTTGGGTCCTCTTCCTGCTGCCTTACACTGACTGGCCTGATATAGTAATCTGTAAAATGCCAATCTCTAATGTATTTATATACACATTTTATTCCTCTGTAGTTTTGTTGTCATATTCTCTCTGATGCAACACTATCAATGAAATTGTACTTTGTGAACAGAATTAGTGGAGGAGACAAAATGATTGATACAAAAACAGGTAATTAAGAACATGTTTGAATCTATTTTTTGTCAGACGGTGGGAGTGGAGAGCACTACAGACCTATGTGTATGTACATGCTGTATAAATCTGATGTAAAAAAGTGTACTTATGTTTCTGTCTTTGTGCACTGACAGAGTTTTAGTTTTAATCAATGCATCTTGTCTCTGCTTTTTGTCCAGTTTTCCTGTTTTGTACCTGTGTCTGTTCAGATATGGATCATAGTTTTGTTGATGCACAATTGTGAAAGTGTACCCACATGTTCGAAAAAAGCTGTTGCGAAAGTGTGCTCTTTGTTTCCCGTGTGGTAGATAAAACATGATAAAGTGCCCTCTACGGTGGCCCAGTGTGAAAGATAACAGAAGAGGACTGAGGAGTAGTAGTTATACTTTAAATCTGTGTCACATAATAAAACCATTTTAATCTTAACCCGGGACTGGAACATGAATGCATTATGAGTATTAGATTTATTATGTATTAGAGTATCACTACAATGGTAAAATTAAATTTAAATTAAAGGTTTTGAATAATATTCCATTACACAACAAGAACTGAAAAAGATATTAATTCAGTAATTCGTGTGAAACAGATTTTAGTGAGTCACGTTACACTTCCACATTGTGTTTTTTTCTTATACTTCTTCTAAATGTGTTAACCACAGAGTAAGTGTGTGTTAGTTCGCTCTTGCACCAAAAGAGGGAACACACACTTTACTGGTCAGACCACAGACCTTCTCACCAAATATTAAGACAACCCAGGGGATGCAGGAACTTGAAATATTGGATTATGTTAATGAGCAGCCAAGACGTGACCAGAGACGCAGGGGGGATGAAAATCAAACAGGTAGGCCAAATGTATCAGAAATATAAATGCAAGGAGAAATAACTTTATTGTACTTGAAGTGTGGACTGTGCAACTATATCGGATCAGGACTCAGTCTTAAAAAAAGGTGAAATATGGTAAATAATAACAACATTGTTCATTTTGGTTGTGAACCAATTTCACACAGTTTTACCAATCAGTCCTGTTCTGTTCATTCTGCCTCTCTCTTCTGACACATTTCCACTTCCCCAGTCCGCTGCATTGCCATTATTACAATTATATTATGTGGGGTTACAGGTCACATCAGACACATCCACTGCATGGAAACCAGTGTAACACTGGTCTCAAATGTTAAAAGCTGTATCAGATTTAAGGTTAGCATTAATGTCCCTGTCTCGCTAAACTCAGTGTTGTCCTCTTCCTGAAAACCTTTTCTCGTGTGAAAGCGAAGCGTATTTCCTGTATTGTGCAAAGAGGGATCTTTCTGGACGTCATTGGCACATATTAGTTTTAACTCAAAATGAAGTGATTCAGATTCTTTACTAAAAGTATTGGCTTATGTGTTAATTTTGCAGGGAGAAGACTCTATCAGGTGCTCTTCCTCTGCTTTGGCATGCTGTGTATCATACAAGCCACTCTCAATGTTTCTCTGCGCCTTACTTGTGAGTATGTTTTCTTGGCATTGTGTAACTAAAATTTGCACTTTGAGTAATTTGACGTTGTTGTCAAACTTTTTATCATCTTTATGTCAAACAAAACCTGAAAAAATATTTTGGATTTAAATAAATAAAAAAGAAAAATTTCTATTTAACTCTTTGTTTCTATATTTTCAGTGTACTCAAGCAAGGAACCAACCCACTTGGACTGCAACTCAACTAATTTAAGTGACCGAAACCAGGTGACGGTGGTGCAGGATTGTGAGCAAAGGAAACCTGATCACTGCAACAGCTTACAAGAAAGATTCAACGCCTTGACCAGAGACAAAAACCGGCTTGAAAACCGAAACACTGAACTCATCAACATGATAAAGAAGGTGGAGGAGGAGCGAGACCGGTTTAAGATGAGTCTGATGGGTGAGAAAAAATCTAATGACCTTCACTTTAGGTAATTTCTTCTTCTTTCATTCTGATATAAAGTCATCTATCCGCTACCTACATACTGTTTGTAACCTACCCACTATAACAGAAATCCGGGTACATTTTTCCACTGCCAATGTTCACACTTCACAAGAGCTAGCTCAGAGTTCAGTTCACTTCAAATTAACTCGTTTTAAACTAAGCTCAAAGTCCCAAATGTATATATGCATATATATAGACCCATATGTATATTTGTGTGTTTTTTATTTTTGTTGTTTGTAAAGCACTTTGTAACTCTGTGTTTAAAAAAAGTGCTATATAAATAAAGCTTTACTTACTTACATTCAGCCACTGGAATCATTCCATTACTTTGATTCAAACAAACAAAACTGGATTTTAATCGTCGTTAGTCTGAATTTTGGGGAGAAGGGACACAATTACCTATTTGTGGGGAAGCAGAAAAGTAATATGACTAGTAGTATAACTAATTACTGTTGGTAGGGAGTAATAAGTAAAGTACTTATATTACTTTTTAAAGGGTAATGAGTAATATGTAAAAAAAAAAAAAGAGTAACTTAACCAACACTGCTTATAATTTTTTGTTGTTGTTGCAATTTTCACTTTTTTTCCGCAATTTCACTGCAAAACAAAAAAAGCCCCAAACATACATTAATGGACATCCCTTGCTATTTATCTTTGCACATATATCATTACGTGTCACACTGCAAACCTGCAGAACTTGCAGATTCCCTGGACAATATTTTGGACATTCCTGTACAGCTCTTCATTCATTTATTTAAATAACAATCATATTGTACATATGGTCTTTCTTTTTATATTTGTATATATATTATCTCTGTCTTTCTGTTTTTTTGTGTGAAAACCTACTTAATAGGCAATAAACCCAATTCTGATTCAGATTGTGGAATATAATATTCAGACGCCATGTTAAATCATTATATATTAGCCCAGAAGGGACCAACCAAACACTATCTGTAGATAAGGCCTTTCCCAGGTTGTCAAATACAGATGTGAGTGGTGTTCAGTTGGTTGCAATCTGCTGCTCATCTTACCGCTAGATGGCACTAGGTCCACACACAGGTCTGGTATTGTTTAGCTCTACCTTTCTTCATGATGTGTACTCCTTTCTGCTTTTTTAGTACTTCATATATATATATATACTACATATATCAACAGTGCAAAACATCGTTAACTCTTGTGAGTTACTGAAACTCACAGTGATGTGAGTTGCAAATGGATACATTTCGTTCACCGTTCCCCAAAAACATGAGCTTGTTCAAAGAACGGCACTCTTTTAGGGTGATCATTCATAACACTGGGCATGTTTTGGCATTTTGCTTGTAACTAAAAATAAACTCTTGTCGCTGCTAAAAAAGTTCAAAAGCATCAACTCTTAAAAAAAGTAAATATAAAAGCTTTAAATGTTTTGACATTAGCTGCATATCAGGGACAGTAATTGTCTTTTCTGATACTAGGACCACAGTCAGCGGTTAACTGATGACTGTACAGTTTTAGTTTTATAGTTATAGTTGTTTTGTAGGAAATATTCACAATTATCATTTATAGTCACAGATACACAATAAAATATATATATTCATTGTCTTTAAGTTAAATTCATTGTCAGAGTTGGAGTTGTATCATAAGTAATTTGTTTACTTGGTCCTTCAGGGCTGAGTGAGTCCTCTCAACAGTGTCCTGCAGGTTGGATAAAGATCAACTCAAGATGTTACTTCCTCTCCAGTGAGAAAAAAACATGGGAGGAGAGCAGACAACACTGTCAGAGTAAAGGTGCTGACCTGGTGGTCATCAACAGCAAACAGGAACAGGTAGTACAGTCCATCTGTGCCTGTGATAATGTGTGTTTGCCATTCTTGATATTGAAGTCTGACATTCTCTATTATTTTAATTAACAGATGGCCTTGTACCATCTGGATGGATCTAATGACCTCGTGGTCTGGATTGGTCTGTATGACACTGAGACAGCTGAGACCTTCAAATGGGTGGATGGATCTGCGCTGACTGAACCGTGAGGCCATTATCACAGAAATATATTCTGTGTAGGCAGTGATAGGCCCTAGAGATCTTTTTTTTAAATGGTCTTACAGTTTATGGATTATTTAAAATACTTACACTAAATCAAAATAGTGAAGTCTAAGTGTCAGTTTTCACGTTAGGAGTAGCCTGGCTGTTCCCATCAGAAGTGCATTTCCTCTGCTATTTTATCATTTAAAAAACAAAATCAAAAACAGCACTGCTATTATTTTATTTAAACTGAATATTTATCACTTTAACATACACCGATCAGCCCCATAAACAACAGACTGTGATGCACTGTGTGTTCTGACACCTTTCTATCAGAACCAGCATGAACTTTACAGCAGTTTGAGCTACAGTAGCTCGTCTGTTGGATCAGACCACACAGGCAAGCCTTCACTCCGCAAGTACATCAATAAGCCTTGACCATCCATGATCCTTTCTCCGGTTCACCACTTTTCCTTCCTGAAGGTTTGCAGGTTTGGAGACGCTCTGACCCAGTCGTCTAACCATCACAATGTGGCCCTTGTCAAAGTCGCTCAAATCCTCACGCTGCTCATTTTTCTTGCTTCTAACACATCAACTTGAGGACAAAATGTTCACTTGCTGCCTGATATATCCCACCCACTGACAGGGGCGATGGTCAGATAATCAGTGTTATTCACTTCCCCTGTCAGTGCTCATAATGTTATGGCTGATCAGTGTATGTTTTTTATTTAATTATGACTCAGTAAATGCATAAAGGTAATATATACAACAATGGGTACTGTATTTACTTTACTTACTGGTTTGATTTGCTTAATTTTATTTTTAAAGCTTAGTAAATCTGTCATAACAGGAATGAAAGAACAGTCAGACCCAGTGTGAATAAACCTGAGGATAATTAGACCCAATTCAAAATGTGATTAACCTTAATAAAATCCAATTAGAGAGATAACACCGCCTCCGGCAGCAGCATGATGGAGCTGAAAGGAGAAGCAATACATCTCATTTCCCCTGCAGTTTACAGTTTGCACTTTCTGTGGTGTTTGAGAAAAAGGTGACACACTGACATACAACAGGACCTTACCTAGCCACATTAGACTGGATTTGGACTTGGCCAAATTTGGGTTGGGTCTTGGTTATTACAGAGGGGATTTGTAAAGATGACATGACTCAACCAAAATGACCATACTGTTATATAACCTGGTTTATTGGTGTCATACTGTTGTACAAACTGCTGTCAGTCCAGTAATCCAACATAAATATTTGAACTGCTTCTTTCTGGCCTCCATCACTGTACTGTCATTTAGATTTTGGAAGTCCGGCCAGCCAGACCGCGGTGGTCCCAACAACAAAGAGGGCTGTGTGGAGATGTTTCACCACGACCCAGTGCTGGCCAACTGGAACGACGCCCCCTGTGAACACAAGCTGCGCTGGTTGTGTGAGAAGGATCCATGTATCTGTCATAATATCAGAACATAATATGTGTATGTACATGTGAATTAATAAATTTACTTTTGTATTCAGCAGAACTAAGAAGTTCACATTTAAAAAAGAAAGTGTAAAAATAAAACAAGCAGATCCCCTCGAAAATAGAAGACAGCAATGATCTCCCATAGCTGTTGGTGTGAATTTTGTTATTGATAGCCAACATACTAGATCAATTAATAGAAATAGAATGATCAGTTAGTAATCAATAATACAGATCATTGTAATGTAATTAAGTCCTCATTTATGGTTTGCACACATTGATTGCATGTAGAGTATTTGTCAAGATGTTATGAGCAGCTTTATAGTTCCCTTTAACCTACACAATGACGGCAGGGAAGAGTTCTCTCACCTTAAGTTTCAACTCTCTGTGATATGTTGTGACTGGATTAAATGGCTTAATATCACCGGAGACCCAGACGCAGTAATTTCTATATAATCCCATTTTAATAAAGAGTCAAGGTTATGTACGTAGAGCTCAGCACAATCTTCTTTGTTCCCCAGTTGTTGTCAGGCTGTGGAGGGTACCAATAATATAATAATTCAAAAATAACGTTTCTTTCCCCTTTTATTGCTTTTAGTGGTTCTTTTCTTTCTTATTCGTATAAACCTTGTGGTCAGAGTTGTCCCGTCCACCTTCCTCATCTTGGTCAGTCAGCCTGATCCAAACTCTTTTAGTGAATTAGATTACAGATTTCAGTTTGAAATAAAAAAAACCGAGAGATTACAGTTGTTCTAACACAGCTCTGCCTCCTAGAAATTACATTTATATACAACTAATTTACAACAGCAAACACATTTTGAGGGATAAAGCTGACTGAATTACATCTTCTATTGACATGACGAGGAACTAATGCAATTTTCAAGACACACTTGTAAGTGACTACTACTACTGCAGCGACCTTAGACGTGAGAGTTTTTATTAACATTTAACAGTTTATATATATTAATTAGTAAAGTTATTTAAGTCTTTATTAGTTGTTTTTTTTAATACAGTCTATTGTATGTTTGTGTATGTGGATTTTTAAAGAAGATTATTGCACATTCATTTGTATAAACCAGCAGTAAAGATCAAATACTGAAATGAGTGTTGAGATCTTGTATATACAAATGTGTATCTGTTTGCATGTGTTCACTACCTGAGAGTGCAGGTCCAGTTTTCCTCTATACGTTAACATAGATATCTAATTGATCCATGATGTCGAGCTGTTCTGAGAGTTCAGTTTGGTCCTGAGGTGCCTGACACACACTTCTTGTGACAGGAAACTGAGGGCTGATGAGATAAAAAGCTTTTGTTGTACATGTAAGGAGGTGATTTCCATTTATAGTCAGAGCACTGCTGCAAAATATATTTCGGATGTGACACTTAACTCACCTCTCTGAAAATAATTCAACATGGATGTACACAAATACATCGTGAAGTCACCAGTGGGTTTGTGCAGAACCGTTTTGAAGCCTTGAGTTCTGTGTTTTGGCCGTCGCCATGACAGTAAAATGGAGCCGGCACGAGCCAGCGGACGTGACGTACTGCGAGTTGATCTGCACTCATTGGCTGCGCAGTTTTGACTTGTCCCTAAAATTGACAGTAAAATATGTTTCTGAAACGATTTTAATTGAGACACATCAATGCAGTAACATAATCTAGCTTCATTTCTGATCGGCACTGCCTACTTCGACAGTTTGATCTGAGTTTTGTGGCTGGATAGATTCACTGAGAGTGACCTTTTCAATCAAAAGGTAGCCCTGCCCAAAAGTAGACGCAGCTTTATCGTCTTATTTTACTCTAAATTAGACCATAATTTACTAAATGAACATCATAATGTCTGGAAGAAGACCATAAACTCATCAGGAAACCGTTTACTGAGCTCATAAAAGGAAGTATCAAGTCGGCTCATTCTCCATTAAAGTGAATGGGACTGCTGTGTTACTGCAGCCAGTGGAGCTCCCCCTGCTGGAATTTACATAGGCTATATACTGTCAATGGTGAAACATAGTAAGAGTTTGACGTCTAGGCCCCAACCTGGTGCAGTCAGCAGCGCCATCCACAGAGCAGAGGGAGAGCAGGGAAATGTTATAGTTTAAATAGACCGCCGGATTAGAAGGGTGTGTTTGATTTGTGATTATGGAGATGGAGGCATGTTGTGTGTGTATATAGCAGGGCAGCTGGAGTTAACTGGGCTGCACCTGTACACCCTGTACACATAAATATACAGCAGGGTTAACTTCATTCCTGTTTAAACTAAACTAAATATGATGCCATTAGTTGTTCTTAATTAAACTTTGAGTTAATTGCTACACTACTTTAATACATTTATTAAGATTGAAAGTTGACAAAATCAGGGTCACCACAAGGTAAATTCAGTAGTTGTCATGACAACAAGACAACTCCAGGAGACACTGAATGGACCCTGTAGTGAGATTAGACCAACAGAGTTCAATTGAGGGAAGAAACTGAAACAATAAACTGGGAAAATGGACCAAAACAAAACTCTAAATCTATGTATAACAGAGAGAGCATATTTAAATATTATGATTTGATTACAGTAAATAAGTTCATAAAATAATAGAGTGATGAGAGGAAGAGGGTCTTTAGTCTGCAGTGAGGTGGCTCTTAAAAGAGCCGTTGTGTTTTGTGGAGCAGCAGCAGACAGTTTAAGCTCTCTCTCCGCGGATACGACGGGCCAGCTGGATGTCTTTGGGCATGATGGTGACCCTCTTGGCGTGGATGGCGCACAGGTTGGTGTCCTCAAACAGGCCGACCAGGTAAGCCTCACTGGCCTCCTGCAGAGCCATGACAGCGGAGCTCTGGAAGCGCAGGTCGGTCTTGAAGTCCTGAGCGATTTCTCGGACCAGGCGCTGGAAGGGCAGCTTGCGGATCAGCAGCTCGGTGGATTTCTGGTACCGACGGATCTCTCTCAGAGCCACGGTACCGGGCCTGTAACGGTGAGGCTTCTTCACGCCGCCGGTGGCCGGGGCGCTCTTACGGGCAGCCTTGGTAGCCAGCTGCTTCCTGGGGGCTTTGCCTCCGGTGGATTTACGAGCGGTCTGCTTGGTTCTCGCCATCGTTTCTTCTTGTGGTTGTTGTTGTTCCTGTGAACGGGACCAAAGTGTAGTAAAGAGAGGAGACCCGCTGCTCTTAAACTGTGGGACCGGCTGTCAGACGGTGACGCTGCTCCACAGCTCCGGCTCCGGATTGGTTAGGGGCTCCTCTTGGAGCTCAGCGCCGCCCGGAGGAGCGGCCCCCCGCCCCAACCTCGGCCGCTCATTGGCGGAGAAAGGCGTTCAAAATGTCCGCCAAAACCCGGAGCGGCCGCCCTCCGACGGCAGCCTGTTTTCTGGTTGGTCTCTCGGGAAGCCCCCCGCACGCTCCGCGGACATATAAAGGAGGGTTTTATGTGTCGGAGTCACACTTTGTTTTGAGCGTCGACTGTAAAAGCATCGAAAATGAGCGGACGAGGCAAAACCGGCGGAAAAGCCCGAGCTAAGGCAAAGACCCGCTCCTCCCGGGCCGGGCTCCAGTTCCCGGTCGGCCGTGTTCACAGGCTGCTGCGCAAAGGCAACTATGCGGAGCGTGTGGGTGCCGGCGCCCCCGTCTACCTGGCGGCTGTGCTGGAGTACCTGACCGCTGAGATCCTGGAGTTGGCTGGAAACGCTGCCCGCGACAACAAGAAGACCCGGATCATCCCCCGTCACCTGCAGCTGGCTGTCCGCAACGACGAGGAGCTCAACAAGCTCCTGGGCGGAGTGACCATCGCTCAGGGCGGCGTGCTGCCCAACATCCAGGCTGTTCTGCTGCCCAAGAAGACCGAGAAGCCCGCCAAGTCCAAGTGAACCTGCTGCCCGCTGGAAAACACACATAAAGGCTCTTTTAAGAGCCACAAACTCTCCTCAAACAGCAACGTTTCTAATGGCTCTGATTACACTCATTAATTAACTAGTTGATTTATTTTATTAGACTTTTGTGAAGATATTCTGACATTGTTTCTTACAATCAATATATAACAAATCCTCAAATATTAAAACAAAGCTTATTTAATTGACTCACATTATTAATCTCTCTATATTGTCACTTATTAACTTGTTCTGACATTAGTCTTTACTATCCAGTGTTGACAGATGACCTGTATAACAATATAATAGAACCAGAAATATCCAGCTCAGGTTACATTGTAACAATAACAGAAGATCTGTTTCAATGTAACAAAGTTAAACATCAGATGTGTTAAATCTAAAGATTTGACAGGTTGGAACTAAAGTAAACATCAAAAACCACAATATAGGCTATTTATATATATATATATATATATATATATATATATATATATATATATATATATATATATATATATATATATATATATATATATATTTTTAAAAAAAAAAAAAAAAAAAAAAAAAAAAAAAAAAAAAAAAAAAAAAAAAAAATAAAAAAAAAAAAAAAAAAAAAAAAAAAAAAAAAAAAAAAAAAAAAAAAAAAAAAAAAAAAAAAAAAAAAAAAAAAAAAAAAAAATAAAAAAAAAAAAAAAAAAAAAAAAAATTATTTTATATATATATATATATATATATATATATTTTAAAATATATATATATAAATTATTCAATGTTAACGGCCTAAAGATGTATTAGACATAAAGACATGTTATATGTTCAATATGCTCATTATGTTCCAGGGTCAGTTTGATTATCATGTCACTGTTATAAAAACTAAAATGTTATTGTTCTCGTATAACCGTAACACTGATTAATTATGAGTTTTAGGTTACACAAAACAAATTATTATTACTGTAAATCCAATGTGAAGATTTCTGTATTCAGGTTAGTTTGTCTCACTCTTAGTAAAGTGAGTAAAGTTGTTTTCTCCTTCATGTTCTAATATTTTATGTTTCATACAATCACTATACAAAAAAATCCTCAAATATAAAAGAGTGAAAAATATAAATTAGCTGACTGGCTCTCCTCAGATATTTGTTTTCTATAATACATTATGATACATTTTACCTTTATATGTCTTCATCAGTGTTGACAGACAGCCTCAGCTCAGGTTACATTGTAACAATAATAGAAAACCTCCTAACATCTGGAGATAACAACAACAGTAACAATAATAACCAGGACCTTGCTCTTTAAGGTGAGTGTTGGTGGCTCTTAAAAGAGCCTTTAGTCGGACACATTCAGACTGCTGACAGCTCACTTCTTCTTGGGTGCTGCCTTCTTGGCTTTGGGCTTTGCAGCCTTCTTTGCGGGGGCTTTCTTGGCTGCAGGAGCTTTCTTCACCACCTTCTTGGGGCTCTTGGTGGCCTTCTTGGGGCTCTTGGCCACGGCTTTCTTGGCTGCCGCCGCTGCCGCGGGTTTCTTGGCCTTCTTCGGGGACTTCTTAGCGGCTGCGGGCTTCTTGGCGGCCGCTGCTTTGGGCTTTTTGGCCGCTGCTGCTTTGCCTTTCTTGGCTCCTGCTCCTGCTCCTGCTGCTGCTGCTGCGGGCTTCTTGGCTTTAGGAGCGGAGGCTTTCTTGACTGCTGCTGCCGGCTTCTTCTTCTTGGCTGCGGGCTCGGCCGTCTTCTTGCTCATCTTGAAGGATCCGGAGGCCCCGGTCCCCTTGGTCTGGACCAGAGTCCCTTTGGCCACCAGGCCCTTGATGGCGGTCTTGACGCGGGCCTTGTTCTTCTCCACATCGTAGCCTCCGGCAGCCAGAGCCTTCTTGAGGGCGGCCGCAGACACGCCGCTGCGCTCCTTGGATGCGGCCACAGTTTTCAGGATGAGCTCGCTGACGCTGGGGCCGGCCTTCTTCGGTTTGGAAACCTTCTTCTTGGCTGCTTTAGCCGGGGCGGCGGCGGCGGCGGCGGCGGGAGCTGGAGCTACTTCTGCCATTGTCAACTTAATGTTGTCTTTCTGCTCGGCGCGATACGACAGTGACACTGAGTGTTGGAGAGTCCGGAGCAGGAGGCTGCCCTTAAACACACCATGAGGACCGTGGAGACTCAACCCGGCCCCTGCCTCCTGATGCCGGCTCACTTGTGTTTTCTCCTCATCGATAAAACGCTCCAAACTCAATGTGGGACAAGTGCTGGAGGCTGACGGTGAAGGGAGCCGATAGCGGACTTGTGTCTCTTCATATTCAGCTCTTGTAGAGCTCTGATGCTCTCTGCATTTTCTTTGGGGAGCCTCCAAACCTCACATATTCACCGTCCTGAGCGGCGCTGCTCGGCGGCTTTTAACACTCATTTCTCTCCGGAAATCATTTCAAATGCATCGCAGCTCCGTCAAAACACGTTTTCCAGTCGCTCCACATGTTTGTTCACACACTCAAAGTAAAAACAATCCTCTGCTGATGATCACTTTGGGATAAAATCAACTTATTCTGCTCGCAGCAAACACACACTGGTGATGGCTGAGACTCACGGTCACACACTTCACATCAGAGCTGATCATCGTGGCTGAGTTTCACTGATCAATATATTATTGTTAAATATGACAAAACACTATTATCACACATTTGTTCACTGCTGATGTTGAAATTGAGGATTTGGACTTTGTTCAATAATCTCATAGTAACATAAATTCAGGTTAAAATATTTGTTCCTGATCAAAAATGATCTCCAGCAGCATTATTGATGATTAATCATTATTAAAATTACAGTCAGAATAATTTAAAAGAATTCAGTTACACACTTTATCTGTTGTATCAGTCAGTAGCAGCGGGTCAGACTCACAATTATATAATATATTTTATTTAAATTTAAAAAATGACTACAAACTGCAGCATTATTGCTTTATGTCAGCTGAGGATGAAAATATTGTCTCCATGTTACAGTGTCTTAAATGCATTAAATAACATGTGCACCAGTTTTAAAACAATTTAGATCCATTTAAAAATACAGCTGTATAATTATATATCATTATGTTACACTGTGTTTTCACTCATTCTCTAACTGTTCATTTGAGGAGTTATAATAAGTAATAAAGATTAATGGACACTTTAAATACTTATCTTCTTGCAGCTACACAATAATGTGTTTAGAGGGTTACGTTTTATTAATTGTTTATAAACCTATTCTAAATGCTAGCAGTTTTAAATTAAAGTCCTACCAAACATGGAAAGGATTCATGTAAAATACAGTAATTATTCTATATTACAACTTTATTTTGTCCATTTGGTCTCTGTTGTTTTTCTTTCAGATTGTGTGGAAGTGCCGATGTGACCATGAGGGGCACTGAAGGGTCCTGATCAGATAACACGGTTCAGGTAAAAGGTTTCAGACAAGAAATATACAGGTGACAGCTGTTGAATTAAATTGAAAAACAAGTCAATAACCTATATTCTAGTATATGACATGGAACTATAATAAGTTAGGATGGCTAAAAAAATAAAAACCTTTGATCTGGTCCTTTGGACATAAACAAATGTCCACTTCTCAAAAATTATAATATTGGTTCTGATTTGTAAAATAGTGTCAATGTTTAAAACACCAGTGGGTGGTGATCTGGAGTTATTATACAGTATATAATGGGTTTGTATGCAGAAAAGTTAGTCTGGTCCCGGGACCACACTCATTGTTTTGTTGGTGTGTTGGCTCTAATAAAGCTTTTATGCATCAGATTCTGCAGACTAAAGAGCATTTTTCTGTCAGTTCAACACCTCTGACAGTGATGGACACACAGGAAGAGGAAGAAGAAGAGGACAGGAAGCTCCGACTGTACTCACCTGGGAGAGCTGAGTGAGACACAGCTGCAGCCAATCACAAAGCATCCTGCTGCGCTGCATCATCATTATTTGCACATACACTATACAATATATACAACAACAATACAATTTAAAATAAAAACAATGTGCAGGAGAGGTTTGAAGCCAAAAATGTCTTATGAAGATTCCCCCTCTAATAAATATAATCATACTAGTTTATCATAAACCGCCATGAAAAGCCAAAGAAGAAGAACAGGCCGTGCATCTGTTTTCAAATATGTCCTCAGAAAAGATTCTTTGATAACAGAGCGATCACGCCCTGATGGACAGAATTTCTATTGATGACCTAAATATCGATGGTCTGTTTGCATCGTTCAGTCTGCTGAGAGAGAAATTGGATTTGCTTCACTCCCATTTCTTTCATTGACTTGGGAACCAGAGGGTCACAGGTTCAAGTCCCACAGACCACATTATGGAGTGTGGACTAGTAGCTGAAGAAGTGCCAGTTTCACCTTCTGTGCACTGCTGAGGTGCCCTTGAGCAAGACACATAATCCCAAAACTGCTCCTGAGGCGCTGCTAACATGGCAGCCCATCACTCCACCATCTCTCTCCATGTTTGCATGTCCACAAGCTCAACATGTGCATGAGTGTGCATTTCAGCCTGTGTGTGTGTGTGTGTGTGTGTGTGTGTGTGTGTGTGTGTGTGTGTGTATAAAATAAAAAAGAGTTAAAAAAAGAAAGAATTTGTCCAATAAGGGATTAATAATTAATAATAAAATCTTAAATCTTACCTTCAAGTTCAACTCTGAATCCCTTCAGGGAGGCTCCTGATGTTTGTATGTTTGTACTACATCATCTACTGAGAAAATCAGGGACGCCTGGAGAGGGGAACTGGGTATTGAACTACCTGAAGTCTCATGTGAACGATACAGTCCTGCTTTTTAACAGTAGACACCAGCTGATCCAGTTCACCGCTGCCCACTATCTTCACTATTACATAAGATTTACCTTGTGTCTGGTTCTGCCCTTCACTAATTGCAGTCAAAAATATGTCATTGGTACTCAGAGGTCTTTAAAAGAACCATCCATCTGGAAGCTGCACTCACCATTTTATTATTTTTGTTTATTCTTGCCCTTGTATTCAAAATAAAATTAGTGTTTACATGTTTTGTGTAATCTGAAATCACACAAACAAAATAAATAAAAATTTAATTGTAATGTATGTATATTTCCATCACTTCATAATTAATCCCAATATATTTAAAGATAGATAGATAGATAGATAGATAGATAGATACTTTATTTATCCCAAGGGAAATTCAAGTCACAGAGACACTAGAATATAAACGTATTGATTCCTTTGTTAGTCACTACATGAGTGTATTTAAAACTGTTCTTCAGGATTTAAGGAATTTTCTTTTACTTTATTGAGAACCTGTTGTCTGTGGTTCCTGTAGTTGTTCAGTAGGTGGCGCTAAAGCACCAAAGAGTTCATCATCAACCTCATTAAAAGCCAGAGAAGAAGACAGTGGCTGTGTTCAATCACGTCCTCAGTCAGGAGTTAAGTAGTGGGACAGCGGAGAGAGAGAAACCTTCATATCAAACACTTGATACGTTAAAATGAGCGGAAGAGGAAAGGGAGGTAAAGGACTCGGTAAAGGAGGCGCTAAGCGGCACCGTAAAGTCCTCCGTGATAACATCCAGGGAATCACCAAGCCCGCTATCCGCCGTCTGGCTCGCCGCGGTGGAGTGAAGCGTATCTCCGGTCTGATCTACGAGGAGACCCGCGGTGTGTTGAAGGTCTTCCTGGAGAATGTGATCCGTGATGCCGTCACCTACACCGAGCACGCCAAGAGAAAGACCGTGACCGCCATGGATGTGGTTTATGCTCTGAAGAGGCAGGGACGCACTCTGTACGGCTTCGGAGGTTAAACCTGTTATTGATCCACTGAACCAAAGGTCCTTTTAAGGGCCGCACACACTCTCTCAAAGAGACACAGTCCTGATTTATAGTGAGAAAACTTGTGTTGTGTCTTAAAAGTGGTTGTTGCCTGTGGTCACATAGGTTTGGTTCTACAACATCAGTACTCCAGTTAATAGATGTGTTTTTGGGTGCTGCCTTAAATGGCCAGAAGGTAGACATACATGAAGTGAAAGTGAACCAAATGGATGCTGGTAACGCATACAACTGATGGACTTGAACCCACAAATCTTTATTACACTTTATTTTCTTTGCATTTTTGTCTTAATGTGTATTTCTTGTGACCAGCGCTTTATATTTCAGATCTGAGTTTTAAAGTCATGAGATGAACCAGACTTGATCACTTAATATATTTAAATTTTCTGTGATGAAGGTGTGAAATATTAGTTATGCTGCTGTGAGAAAATGAGCCCTGAACATCGTTTAAGCCAGGGGTCCCCAACCTCTTTTTGGTGGGGGCCACATCAACTTTCCTTTCTGTGACGGGAGGCCGGGGTCAGTCTATAAAAGGAAATGATATGGGCCAAAGTGACAACCAGTATTATTGTGGAGATCATAATGACTATTTTTTTGCAGCTGTCCTTCGCTGGGCCTTGGCACCACCTGTTGGTTTGCAAAAAAAGTAATAGAAAGTCTTCATGTTTTTATTTGAAGTACCACAGATACTATTTTATAGAAAATAAAAACACAAGCTGTTGCCAGGTACTCGAAGAGTTAAAAAATGCCCATTATTTGCATTGTTATGCACACCAGCTGAATTTAATTGGGTGGGATTTCCAGTTTTTTTTACCCGGTCACCCAAACGCAAGGCCCTTCTTGACCAGATTGTTGCACAAAGGCTGCCTAGAGCATCATCCACAAGATGGAACTTCAACAGCAGGATCGTGAGTACCGTCTATGAGAACCGGGGCGACCTCATAGAGTGCTTTGAGACCATCAGGTCAGACAGCTCAACTGACAGCACCACCATGAGGGAGGCATCTGGCTTCCTGAGGATTCTGCAGGATGAAGATTTCTGTTTTTTCCTGCAGTTGTTTCAACAAATCATGCCTCATGTTGACATGATGTACCAACTGCTGCAGAAGAGGCACATTGACATAGTGTTCATCAAACGTGCCCTGCAGAACTTCACCAGCAGTGTTCAGGCCATCAGGTAAGATAATACAATTATAATAAGTATGCACATGTTCATTACTAAATGTCTGCATGTTGTGATGGCAATAATGTATAGGAACCGAAAAGAACCAATTTAATCATCTGTAAGTAAGTTAAGCACATCCAGAAATAGTGAGTTTTTTTCAGCCATTTCCAGAAAGTTATTCAAACTTGCAAAACTTACTAGTATTACTGGTTTTTTTAAAGACAGGAATTGTTGATAATGACAATGACATACTGTCTCATTCATATTCTAACACTTTTGATCTGTCTCCCTTCCCTATTTTTTTTTACAATTGTGTGTTACTGACTATACATTTTTATAATTTAACAGATCTGTGACACAATCCTGGGCCATGCCAAAGACAGGTTCTCCTTCACCAGCCACCTTGTGAGTGCTGTGTTGCTAGAGGGAGAGCTCTAGCAACACTTCTGACCGGCATCTGAAAACATTCCCTGAAGAGGCTCTGAATACCACCGTGAGGTCATACCCCATGCTACACAAGGAGAAGCTCAGGACTGAACTTTCTACAGAGCTGCAACCTCCAGGAAACCTTCTCTGAGACTGTGGTGCTGTTGAACATCCTCATAACCACTCCGATGACAACAGCTGAAGCTGAGAGGTGTTTCTCCACCTTAAAGAGAAAAAAGACGTTCCTGAGAAATACAATGGAACAGGAACGTCTGAATGGATTGTCCATGCTTTCCATGGAGAGAGAACTTGTCAGGAACATGCCTGATTTCAATGAGAGGGTAATTGATCACTTTGCCTGCTTGAAAGAGAGGCGAGCAAAATTTCAATACAAGTGATGAGTGAGTGTGTTATTAAATGGTGAGTTGTGTTATGTTGTACTCTCCAAATGTTGAATTGTAAATGGTTGTATTGATTGCATATTGCCAGCCGAATATATACTGAATATGTTCTGGAAAGATTTGATTAATTACCGTTTTGATGATAGTATAATTTGATTTGATTATCGCTATGGCATCCATGGTGGCTATAAATTGTAGACTGTGCTAACTGATTTCATGGGCAGACTAATAGATGACAATGTATCTGTCGATGGCCACGGTGGAAGTGTTTTATTGTGGAACCAAATTTATTGTATTTGAGACATTTAAATTGATATAGCTATACAAAAGTACTGTACAGTATGTAAAATTCATGTCTGGTGTTGCCATCTAGTGGTTGAACAGGAAAACCAAATTAAACAATGCAATGTAACACTGTTAAGACTTTTATTTATTATTACTTTACCCACTGAACAGGTCATCTTAGCCATCATCGCAACAGTTGCCCCCCCTGAGAAATTTGTCAGGAGCCGCCACTGCAATTGAGTCTATTAATGAGATAAATGCGTTGCTAAGGCTGTCATTGTTAACATCCACATGGATATTAAAATCACCTACATAATTACTTTATCTGATTTAAGGACTAAACTTGATAAAAACTCAGATAGAAAATCAGAGTATGGGCCAGGAGCGCGATACACTATAACAAACAGATGGCTGCAGTGTTTTCCAGGTTGGGTGAGAAAGACTAAGAACAAGGCTTTCAAATAAGTTATAATTCAGAGACAGGAGATCAGGGAAGACCACACTCTAAGCCCGGATAAGTTGCCTTAAAAAATGTAAGTAATGTATGATGAAAACTTAAGTACATCTAACTTAAAAAGCTTAAAGGTACTAGAATTTCTGTTTTTAGTTCCGTACACTAAATGCCAAGTTGATTCAACTTACTTTTTTTTGCAAGGTCAACTGCTTTGCACAACTATTGCACTTAACGTCTTTAAGTTAAACACACTAAATTTCAAGTTGATTTAACTTTAAATAGTTTACAGGTGCAATTGTTTTGTACAATTATTACACTTAATATCTTTAAGTTCAATGCAATTAAGTCCAAGTTGACTTAATTCAAACTCACTTGTAATGTTCATTTATTTCCCCAGTTAGTCCAGTTAATATCTTCAAGGTGTTGTGTGAACCTTTAAATAGTGAGAAAAAGAAAACAACAAAGTGGCATTGCTTTTTGTGTTTTATTTATCTTAAGTTTAGCTTAAGTCAAGCTATTAAAATTACAGTTAAATGTTTGTATTGTTTAAAAACTTAACTTAAAACTCTGAGCACTGCACTGTGCAACAGGATGGAGACCCATGTTTTTAGCAGATGACCCTTGAATCATTAGCTCATGAGACAATATTTTGCATAAAACATTAAAACAAATTTAAAGGCCTAGAAACAATCTCAAACCAGGGACCCGTTCGGCTTTTTCTTCATCATTTCGTTGACCAGAACTTGACGAGCTTCCTCCAGGTTGTGTTCCTCCTTCCCCTCAGGAAAATCAGGCAGGAAATGTATTTCCCCTTTCCAAGGTTTCTTGATGTCTTTGTTGGGAGGGTCGCCACTTGTAGAGTGCCTTCCGCGTTTACCACCATTGACAGTGACATCAAGTCGACTGCACTGGCACATTTTGGTTCTATAATTACCCATCTTGAACTTGAGACTGTTTTTCCATCCATCCCAGCCAGAGGGCGACCCGCGACCTTTAAGGCATGGATGTGTTTGCACTAAAGCTTTTGCAAAAGTTTCAAACTCTTCGTTTGTTGGGTATGCTTTAAATGCATACATTGTCTCTGCAAGTTTTTCGAGGATTTCATGTTTCAGTTCTTTTGTCACTTTCAGATAGGTGGCATCCCTGAGATACAGCAGGTTACCTTGACGTAGTCTATATTCAACATCAACTGGAAATTTGGGGATTTTAAATACATCTGGCCACTGAGAACTTCTGTCTGAAGAGGAGATGGACAGGATATCTGTGTCTGCCTGGCTGCTTGTGTCACTACATGTTTCACGGACTGGTACAAGTTCAATCACTGGAATGATTTTGATAGTTGGTTTCTCAGGGAGCTCAGACAGATCGGTGAGGTTACACAGTTCATTGTTAAATTCAGGATCTTGGTATTGCAAGTTAAAGCTGTAGCTTGCTTGCAATACCTGATGGATAATAATAATAGAGTGCCTTTGAGCCAGTCAATCAAACCTTCAAGTGTGTCTGGTCGTGTTGTCATTGTCAACTTTTTTATATCTCCCTCGGTGACGATAACCCTCATGGTAAATTTCTGTTGCACAGCCATCTGGAGAGAAATTATGGACAGTTATTTGGCAAATAAATCATCTCAGTGTTACCATAAGCTCTCCTTGTACCCTGTACACTGATAATGGGAGGACATCGTTTAACTCTGACATCTTAACCACATACATAGAGATGACATCATCACAATGAAGTTGGTAAGATCTCAAATGCTCACAGTACCATGCTGTCATTTTGTGGCATACAAACAGAATCTCTGCATCAGCTGCAATAGTCTTTTCAATCTGGGCAAATTCAGGTAGACCTGAGCATGACCCAGCAGAAAGTATCATGTTTGGATGATACTTTATTCCATCTACACACACAGATGACGCATTAAGCACTGATCCCGGTGTTCTTATGTTATGAGCAATTGCTGTTTGTACATTAGGAGGGAAAGTGCAAAACAAAACTGGGGTAACCTGTGACATCTCAACTGACGGTCTGAAAAAAGACCTACCATCAAGTTGGTAACTGACTGCCCGCTGGTGCTTTGTCGCAAGTGTCATGGCAACATTTTTTAAGTTTTGTGCAGTGCAAATTGCCCTTTTAAAGAACTTGTGCTTCCCCTCGAAGCACATTGTCCAAACCTCACACAGGGGACCAAACTCCATGATAAGCTGAGGGTAATGTTCCACAAAGTCTGGGAAGGTTAGCTGTAGCAAGTGCCTGTGCTCTGCAATCTTGCAGTCCAGGAAATGCAGTGTCTCCTCAGTATGCCTTGGTGCTACAGCTAACTCCACAATGTCCTTGAGAAGCATGAGGATTTCCCAAGTGTTGTCACCCTCAGGGACATAGAGACCAATAAGAAGTGGAAGGAGCCTTATTAGACACCAGTTCTCATGGGCATTTCCACCAGTTGTCCCTTTAGTGGAAAATCCCTTGCTGATCATCTGAGGTCGATCTGTTCTGTCACTAAATGTGTACTTAAAGAACCTGATGGCCTGATTCAGCACATTGAGTGTGAAATAATCTTTGCCTACCAGGTCTGAAAGACACAGTGACACCTCGGTTGGAACAATGCCTTCCAAGATATGGTGCAAGATGTCAGGATGGTACCCACTCACCACATGAAAGTGCTTAAGATTTTGAGTTAAAGGACATGCTCCTTTCACACCATAAGAGTGACCCAATCCAGGATCCCCTCGCACCTCTTGCACCTGCCTATCATGGGACTCTTTATCTCGCATGTGAAAGAAACCAGAACATACCTCATGCTGTTGAGATCTGCAGAATTTCTCGACACTGAAGCTCTCCAAGAATCCTGCAAGAGAGTGAGCAACAAGATTGTCAGCTGCAACATACAAAACAGTACCTCTGACACTTGCACCAAACTGCTCCAGGAAAATGCCATTTTGCTCAACAAACTGAAGATCATAGATCAGAGGTTGCAGTACTTTTGCATAACCACACTCTTTGACTGTGGAGGTGTTGTACAGTAGAGCTAGTTGGATAGAGTTAAGGGTGGATCTATATTTTGCTGGTATGTTCGCAATAACCCAGTAAACTGCACACATCTTATGTTTCAACTTTGATGTTCCAAGAGGATTGGCTACTTCAAAGTCGTCAATGTAAAGGCCAAGAGCAATTGTGAACTTTGAAAGAAGTGAATTTTCGCTGAAGTACTGCCCATCTGCATATGACCTGTATTCCTGTGGAACATGGACTCAGACATAGCTTTGTCTAAAACATCAGTTTTGTTAAGCAACTTCTGTAGCATGGGAACAATTGGAACATATGCAAGAGGTTTTTTGCCTTTTTCCACAACATATTCAATTGGATTTACCAGTGGAAACTCTCTGCGCACATAGGCTGCTCTTTTTTTTGGCCATTCCTAAAGGTCCATCTTTGAAACAATGTGACATTTTAGTTACTTTCTGACACAGCACTGATAATCTCTTTAACAAATGTTTCATCCATGTGACAGTTATATTTGCTTTATAAAGTCCTGTCTCTGTTTTGTAGAAGTGGTTGTGACAGCTGATTGATTTTCCAAAGCTGTTGTACCACATCTTGCACAGCACTCTGGTATGTGCAAAACAGCTTGCATCTTTAGTAGAAGAGATGCTACGTTGTGCTCAAACTGTTTTTCTAAATCATGGAGGTCATGGTCACTGGTTACCTCACTGACTTCGTCTATGTCTTCAATATCATCTGCAGACTGACATTTGCTCTTGTGCAGCATCACCATCATGACTTAAAACATCATCACCAACAATTTCTGACTTAAACCTCTTCCAGTTCTGTTCTTTATGTACTTTGCTCTTGTGTGCTTTGAATGTGGAGTAAACACTGCTTTCAAAGTTATAGTCTTTATAAGGACATCTGACCTTATGGTTTACTTTTAGATGCACAGAATGCAGGTGAGTGAAAAACTCATTCTCTGAACAAGACTCAGCAAACTCACATGACTGACAACTAAACTTAACCGGTCCATCTGCTAGTTGCTGATATGCAGTTTTGGTATGAATGCGGGAAATATGCACTTTAAGTGCATTTAGTGATTTAAACGTACACAGACATTTCTGATGTAAACAAGGAAATGGCTCTATTCTCGCGTAACTTCCATGTTTGAGCCTATAATGTTGAAACAGCTTTGCTCTCTTTTCACAGCTAAAAGCACAATACTTGCACTTCCAAATCATTGTGTTTGAATTCTGTTTTGAACAGTTTTTCTGTAGCGTCTGAACATTGAAACTGTGTGTTTCTAATGTTCCCTAATTAGCCAAAATTACCCTAAATGTCCTTTTGAGGGCCAATATGGGCAAATTTATGAACTTACCAGTTGCAGTAGCACAGCAAAGAAAAGCTACTGGATGGCTTTTCCACTCTCCCTGCACGCAGAGAGCCCGCATCGCAGAACACCGCCGTCTCAGTCCAGATCCCGGTGTGGTATCTAGATGGTGAAAGTCTTTACTGTGATGTTTTATCGCTCACATAAAGCTACTAGAGTGAGAAAACTAGCTCTATCATAGGAAGCAGGCTAAGCTGAGCTATGAAAATCGAACATTAGAACAGTCACTGCTAGCAAAACAACCCCTTCCCCACCGAGGAAAAGTCGGCTAGTGGATAGCCAGCTAGCGCCTTACAATGTC